ATTAACTTCTTGTTTGTTATTTATTGGTCGATTTATAAACTGATAACTTATACCACCTAACAATATAACTGAGCTGATCAATAATGGTACTAGAGGGGTGAAAGAAAGAGATGGAGAGAGAGAAGGGGAGCAGAGGAGGGGAAATGAACAACTACCATCCTGTTATTACTGTCCTAACACATAGGAACTAATACAACTGAAGCATAGAATACATTTTTTGACATAACAACCAATACTAACGTCATAATGTGAATAAGATGGGAAGTTCTTATTTCTTAGATTCAGGACAAAACTGATAACTAACCTTTTCTAATGTTACATAATTTATGAACTTATGTCAGTTATGATGTAATATTGATCATTGATATGAATGTTAGGTTGTTACTTTCTTTTTAGAGTTTCATGTCTGGTTGAATATTGATATAATGATAAGACTGTAGTACAGGACAATCAAATGTACTTCCACAAATTACAGAATCCCTTATTGAAATACTTTATTGACAAAATTTCTTTTGTTTCCACATCAATCACTCATTGCTCTCGTACTGTTCTCTTCGATCTTCTTCACCTTCTGCCTTCAAGCATTTTACTTTCGATACATGGTACATACTACTTATATAAGTCGACATCAGTAGCACATACCACAATATCAGTACCCATATTAACACCTTCAACTAATGTCATTGTTGATGTTAAGCAATGAGTTTCAATCATCAAATTTGTTCCATTGGACAAACTAGAGAACGTGTATGTTGATTGTAAAGATAGTAGGTTCGAGTCCTATAGTGAGCATTAACTATTGAGATGTAGGTACATCAAGGTGACAGGTTCAAAAGAGGTCGAAATGGGTGTACCCACTTTCACTGCTAGCCAATATTGATACTTATATTTATGAAATATGTTTGGGATAATTGTAGTGAACGAGAACACAAGTGAGGATAATCGGATATTAGATGATGGTTGGAGGTAGTCGACAGGAAACTCTGGACCCGAGTTTCGTGCTACTTGGCACTCGTCAGCAAGATGTACCTGTAATCTTGAGGGAACTGGTGCTCCCTGGTGGATTCGATCTCGTGTCACCCAGCTTCACAGTTAGAGACGATAGTGTTCGATCTGCATTAATAAGGACTAGAGACGCATGACATTGATCACCACCCAGTGATCAATCAATTGTGATAATCGAATGTATTTCAACACAAAATTACAGAATCCCTTAGTGAAATCTGAGAATCATACAGTAAATACTTCATTGATAAAATGTCAATCAATCGTCTTAGACTTCATTGTTCTTTCGTTTTCACACTAATCCTTCGTTGTTCTCTTTCTCTTTTCTCCGATCTTCTCAAATTTCTGCCACCAAAGATATCACTTTGATTAGTGATACACACTACTTATATCTATCGATATCAGTAGTATATACCACATTATTAGTAGGAAACTCAAAACCATAACCGGATATATGTAACTATCAATACTTCATTATGATACTTCATATAACTGTTGTTTTGGTTGTTGGAAATCAAAAATTAATAAATAATTATAATCAATATTTAAAATAGTTGATGCATTCCGGTTACCATAGTAACCGATAGTATTTATCTCCTCTATTCGATTCACAAATGATTGGAAGGTGATTTATGATAATATTAACTAATGAAGTTGATCTTAAAGGTTGGTAACAATCATTTTAACATTATATTAGATATTCTGGTTTAGGTTACTTTAGGAATAGATTTATCAAACAATCATTGTGGATAAGTTGGATGCTGGTCAGTTCAGTAGTTTAATGGTTAAGCGCTAGTGCGCAAGACTGATAGGCTCTGGGTTCGAATCTTATGGGGTGGGATCGTGGATGCGCACTGCCACTGAAGAATTCCACAATAGGACAAAACAACCGTCCAGTACTTCCAGATTTTCCATGTTGGTCTAGTTTTAATTGACTTATGATCTCAACTATTAAAACAATCATATGATGGACAATTGAATTTGGAATCTGTGTATGTGTAAATATGATCCGATGGATGTGAAATGTGTGGTTGAAACGACTATGGTTTATTCTTAATAACCTACGGTATAAGCACAGTATTTAGATGGTGATTTAACAGTCCTTTATCGAACTCCAATTAAGCCTGGTATCCTCGTAAATAATCCTTATCTTAAGCCGCATTTGTTAATAAAGGGGTGAGACTATAATTTATGGACGAACCAATCAGGTATAAGATAACAGGTCACAGATTTTGGCGCGAAATTCACTCATCCATTTGGATAAATAGAGTTTTGGCATTATAACTGATATGAATTCGTAATGAAAACCATAAATGTAAATCATCATTAACATTCTTCACACTGGTTTACAAGCTTCAATTAGTCTTAGTTATTAGATGGATACTCTCAAAGTCAATCTGGAGTCCCTCAAAGGTTGCCCATAAATAGAGGAATTAAATAAGCCAAATACGAGAATGAAGTATGAATACGTACACTGACTGATCTGAACAGACAATCAGGGTAACGAAATGACGTACAGCGGAGATGATGAGTGAGCTAATTCGTTTTGACCCTTGTATTTGTCGATATTTATAGTCAGGCAAATATGGGTTACGGACACTTGATGAATAGGGTAAGCAATTAACATATATATGATCATATAAAGACGGTTATATGACTTGAGAAGAATAGATAAATTGGTTAGAATAACCTATATAGGTTTGACATGGTACCATCTGCTATAACGCTACGCATTTTCAATAATCTGGTCACTTCTCTAAATATTTAGAAACATAACAAACGAGTAGTAGATAATAAAAATATTGTAAGATGTAATGTATGTTTTCACATGAAGTGTAAGAGATATTTAATTGTTTAGTTAAGCCTGTTACTCCTCGTGAAGAAGAGCATAGGTCGCTCAACAACATTCTACATCCAACACTGTCCTAGGCAATCCTTTCCAACTCTTTCAAATTCTTATTCATTCTTTTCATATCTACTTTGATTTCCCGACGTAATGTGTTCTTCGGCCTTCCTCTGTTCCGAGTCACTTCAGCATTCCAAGTTACGACTAGCCTCGTGATGCAGTTTCATGATTTGAGTAATGTATATTCTATCCACTTCCAACGTCTTCTTATAATTTCCTCTTCAGCTGGAAGCTGGTTTGTTCTCCCTTACAGTAGACTGTTGCTGATGGTATCCAGCCATTGGATGTTGAGTATCTTGTGTAGACAACTGTTTATAAATAGTTGAACCATTTTGATGATGGTTGTAGTAGTTCTGCATGTTTCAGCTGCGTATAGTAGAACTAACTATGTTGATGTTCGTATTGAAGATTATGATTTTGATATTGTTTGACAGACAGTTGTTTTGAGTTTCATATGCTTTTCAATTGTAGGAATGCGACCTTTGCTTTGCCAATCCTCTCCTTCACGTCTGCATCTGATCCTCCTTATTCATCGATGATGCTGTCTAGGTACGTGAAAGTTTTTATTTCTTCTAAAATCCCTACACTAAGTGTGATTGAGTTGGTTCTCTCTGTGTTGTATTTGAGGATCTTGCTTTTTCCTTTGTGTATGTTGAAGCCTACTGATACAGAGGCTACTGCCGCATTAGTTGCTATCATCTGCATTTGTTCATGTGTATGAGATAATTGGCTAAATATTCTAGGTAATACTACTACCTTAGGATGTTATGTAAATATTTCCTGTTATTCGTCCCTGATATGAGTCATTTAAGTAGTGAAATCCTAATAGATTCTACAAATAACTTATATGTTATACACCTATAACGTATCTGTTAACACCCGATTAAAGGATCGTTTTATTGAGGTTTTGTTAATTAACTTGAAATCTCAAGCATTATAAGCAAAGATGGATAATGGCTAGCAGTGAAATCCAAGACATGTGTTTCACACTATTTGAGACTCATCATTTGAATGTATCTGCATCTCAGAGTTGATGTTCATTCTGGGACTCGAACCCAATACTGTTCACTTTAAACGTCATCAAATTATTCACTTAGCTACTACTGACTATGAAATAGATCCTGGTGATAATAATAACCAAACCATCGAACTCAAAACAGAAAGAAACAAATCAAAACTCAACAACAACAACAACAACAACACTGAAATAATCTTTAATACAACTTCCTATTACGTAATTAAGTATTTCAATAGAATAACTCTGATCACATATTTAAATGTAAATAATAAACAATTGGAAACATTCATTATTCTTTATAAGAAGGAATAACTATAAAATATGATAAATATAACCCTCCCTTTCCCCCCCAGTGCCTCCCCAAAAAACAAACACCAACTTCTATGAATCTCATTATTCACAAAATCATTAATAATAATACTACTTATAATAGTTATAAGTAATAATAATAGTGGATAGATATTCAAATGGTATTAAAACAAGCAGCAATAACGACGACGACGACAACCACCATCACCACCACCACAACAACAAAACACACAAAAAACTCACTGAGAAAAACAAAGAAAAACGACATACGAAATAAACAAGAAAAAAAACAATAACAAAATGCATGGTAATTTTCTTCTGTTTTTTTTTCTTAAAAAAAAAGAAGAAAAAGAATACTCATCTTAATTGTTTCAACAAGAAAAAAAACGAGAAACAAACAAACCCTCTATCCATTTCAATGTTTCCATAGAGGTTGGATTGTTTACATAGAAAAAAAGTTACAAAATAAGTTATTCATGATATGTCAAAGTGGGATTCGAACGGTGAAAATATGTTGTTGATATGTACTTTTATTGATTGATTTGTTCGTTTATTGATCTGTTTATTTGTTTATTGATTGGTTTGTTTGTCTATTGATTGATTTGTTCGTTTATTGATCTGTTTATTTGTTTATTGATTGGTTTGTTTGTCTATTGATTGATTTGTTCGTTTATTGATCTGTTTATTTGTTTATTGATTGGTTTGTTTGTCTATTGATTGATTTGTTCGTTTATTGATCTGTTTATTTGTTTATTGATTGGTTTGTTTGTCTATTGATTGATTTGGTTTTGTTTAAATAAAGGAATGTAAAATTTGATTGAGCAAGAAAAAATTATGGAAAATTGTTCAACATTAACTATTGAATATGAGTATTTAAGTAGTATATATATCATTCTTATGAATTAAAAGGAAAATAACAATAATAATAATAACACAATTGATTTTAATGATTTAATAAAAAGTAATTTAAGCACAACGTAGATTTGTACCAGCTTTTAATCCTTTGGAACCAAAGTTTTTAATATAACAATCTGTAAAATAGGAAAAAAAAAGATGCCCCATTAAGTACACACATATATATATATAAGCAAAGATGGATAGTGGCTAACAATGGAATCAAGAATGCCGGTTTCGTCGTATTCGAAACTCATCAGTTAGACGTACTTGTATCTCAGAACTGATGTTCACTCTAGGACTCGAACCGAATATCGTTCGCTTTAAACACCATCGTGTTATCCATTTACCTACTGAGTCCGGATAGCCACTTGCTTATGCTATGAGTTGAAGTTTAAATTCGCTTGGTTTTGTTTGCTTGAATCTTCGGATTAATGTTTAGGACTACAATTCATCAGTCTCTTATTGATATATACACATCCAGCTGACGAATGCCAAGTAGGACCAAATGTGCATCCTGAATTTCACTGCTAGTTATCATCCATCTTTGCTTATAGAGTTTTTGACGTAAGGCGATATCAAGGCAGTTCACACAGGATGCAGGTACGCCAACAAGAGGATGATCAAATGCAGTTTTTAAAAAAATGGTAAGATACAAGCAAATAATACTAAGTGAATATATATATATATATATGTTTGTAAGTAGTCGGTAGGAAACTCTGGACTTAGATTTTCTCCGAGTATTCGTCATCAAGACATATTTGTTATCTTGAGGAAATTGTCATAGTACAACCAGTAGCAGTCAGCTTCACAATCTGACTACCTTGTAGTGGAAATCCAGATTCCTCAGATCTTTGATGAATACGAAAAGGTGAAAAATATAAAGGAAATTCGATTGCAGTACAGAGATTTAGAACTGGAACGTAGGAAACAATCAATGTTAGATTAGATTCCTACTACTGTTAATGTAGTGAACAAGAACCCAATGAGTGACAACCAAATGTATTTAAGTACAACAATACAGAATCTCTTTGTAAAATCATTGGTTCTTCATTTTCACATCCATCATTCTTTGTACTTGTTCTCTTCTCTCCGATATTTTTTTTTAACCTTCTGTTCACCAGACATTCCACTTTCGACTAGTGACACACATACTACTTATATCTATCAATATCAGTAACATACACCATAATCAAAATCTATCATAACTCAAATGACTAACTTCTAATATACTTTAATAAAAAGATTAAGCTCATATTTCATATTACATAATAATCACTAGGACTATATCATCATGAATACAAGTGATTGTTTCGATCATGTTCATTGAAAGAACAAAAAGAAGTGAGAGGTGATCAAATTACATTGTTTACATGTATTGTAATAAAATCTGATCCACCCATGAACTATTTCAGGGCGTATGAACTTAATTCAATACAACTATTCAATTAGAGATTATTTATATTAGATAGTGTAATAAATATAATTGTTGTTGTTTAGATTGATGAAAATTGAGATGACTGAATTATTGTTGATTAAGGTAGTCGAAGTATACATAGTATGTATTACTGATGTTGATAGATATAAGTAGTATGTGTATCATCAATCGAAAGTGAAATGCTTGGAGGTAGATGGTTGAGAAGATCGAAGAGAAGAGAATGAGAACAAAGAATGATTGCTGTGGAAACAAAGGAACAATGAAGTTGAAGACGATTGATTGACATTTTGTAAGTGAAGTATTCACTGTATGGTTCTCAGATTTGATTAAGAGATTCTGTAATTGTGTGTGTTCAAATACATTCGATTGTCCCCACTGATGTTCTCTTTCACTCCACATATAGTTTGTATGTTCAAGCATAATCTAAGTCAATGAAAAGTATTGAGTATTATCTTAGTAAGACCGTTGATATCAATCATCTGTGTTGTAAAATGAAGGATTGTTTAGTTGAAGTTCACGAGATAACCGTGATAATCTTTTGGATATATTGAGTAAAATAGTTTAAAACCAATCTCGATATTTCAAATTGATGGATTATTTGTCAGAACCTCTTCTCATAATAATCATCGTATGCTCACTAGTGACTGTCAACGAGAGTTATTTCCTGGAGTTCTAGTGAGACGCAGTGATTGGTGGGGTTCAACTGGGTCCATTATGAGATAGTAACTCACTGAGGACAATGGTGGACGGCAGCTCAACTTCCTAGATTAGTTGAAGTTTGACATTAACACCGTTCGATGTCGGCCAGTTCAGTGATCTATAGGTTAAGTGTTCGCGCGCGAAACTGATAGGTCCTGGACTACAATCTCGCGGACAGGAATCATGAATGCGCACCTCTGAGGAGTCCCACAATAAGACGAAATGGCTATTCATGTATCGATAGAAGGTAGTCATCAACACCGTTGAATGCTTCCTCAGTGGTCTAGAAGGTGAGCATTCAAGCACGAGACCGAAGGTGCTCGGTTCGAATCCTGTGCGCAGGGTCATGAATCCATACTACTTAGGAGCTTCATACTAGAATAAAACAGTCGTTCAGTGTTTCCAGGTTTTTCATGGTGGTTTAGCTCGACTCATCGACCCATTGTGATTACATAATTCATATTACATAATTTAATAATATTATGCAATATGTACAGTTATATATATATATATATATATCAACCTATGTGACATATATGCATGAATTAAATATATCGGTCAAATTCATCATTTCTTGAAAGACAATCATCAACTGTACTATGAAAACCATTTATATACATAGAGTTTACTTCGAATTAATCTACACCTAATTAGCAATGAACAATCTTTATTGTTTACAATGTAACTTATTAGGGTGATGCTGTATATCCAATTTGATAACCTTAAGTTAATTAAATAAGAGATAATCATATGATAAGAGAAAAGAAAAACTTATTCTATTTAAGATGTAACAATTATGTACATAAATTATAATGAACAGATAATATTACTGATATTTAATTTATTAGTATAAGGTTGCATTGACACCTGAACTGATCATAGGAAGTGAAATAGTTGAGCATGTCGACTGTTTCACTTATTTTGGAAGTCTCATCAGCCCCTGTGGTCTGGTGTGTGACGAAATCTCAACACGAATACAGAAGGCTCGACTAGTTTTTGCTAACTTGCATCATTTATGACGTAGGCGAGATATCCGTCTACTAACCAAAGTAAGAGTTTACTGCGCAGCAGTTCGTCCCGTCCTATTATATGGCAGTGAAACATGGACGGTAAGAGTAGAGGATATTCGTGGGTTACTAGTATTCGATCACCGGTGTCGTCGAAACATTGCTCGTATATCCTGGGACCACCGATTAAGTAATGCAGTTGTTAAGAAACCGGTACTAGGTAAGGATAGCAAATCAACTGATGGAGTAGGGAAACGTCATCATTTGAGATGGCTAGGACACGTGTTACGTCTGCTCAACCACCGACTGTCCCGACGTGCGATGTTTTCTGGTGTAGGAGTAGGTTGGAAGAAAGCTAGGAGCGGCCAGACAAAAAACATAGCACAAATCTACGATGTCACTGACTAATGGACTGAGACGTGCTGGTAGTGTAAACTACATAGTTGGAGTCCGTGTGACGATAGCAACCGATGGTTAGAGACCTTGAATGTGACATGGCTCAAAATCGTTTGCAGTGGTGCAGGTGCATCCATTCTTTGTGTTCTCTCAAATTTTAATCTTCTCAATTCATCATGTCCCATGTTTTTCTCTTTCCAAATTTATTTCACTGGATTATACTCCTTGAATAACATCTTCAAATCCTAATGTTTCCGATTACGGCTTATAAATTTACTACCACTACGGGATTTGAACCGACAATTGTATCTGTGTGCTAATGTAATATGCCAACTCGAACTGATGTACGTACTTACGAAGTTCTGCGTTGTAACTGACTGACTGACTGGAGTATAAGGTTTTAGAGATTGTTTATGCTTCTATTTGAAGTTTGTGCTACTAATGATGATGATGTTGTTGTTTAGAAGAATGATGTAAGCTCCACGATCAAATCATCTAGATTAGAGAACAAAACATCATCAAAATTGTTTATGATTGTTTGAATAGGATCAATGTAACTCGTTGTGCATTTGAAACATTCTCTACTTCATGGTCGGAGCATAACAAGAGCTCTCCTGAAGTTAATTTTTGTTGTCCAACCTGCGTTCAATGTGTTTCACTGATTCCAAGCATCTTCAGGTTGTAGCTTTTTATTTCTGCAGAAACTTGGTTGACTCTCCCGTTCTCCTACATTGTACCTGAATTAATGGTTGCTCTGGTTGTCAGAATAGGTATCAGCCTCGTGACTTGTGAAGGAACTCGGTTTTCATCAAAAGATGTCATAAAACTTCTAAATGAAAATCTTCTAACTTCTAGAGCACAGTTTCAATGGTTGGAATTATTTTATCTATTTGACGTTTTTTTAGCGAGTTAGCGTTCAGCGAGAACTAGGATCGCTAATCCTATACCCACTCCTCCTCCTCCTCCTTTATCCGAGCTCGGGGCCGGTAGCAGCCTCAGGGAGGCTCTAGGCGGAATTCTCAGGGCCAGAGAGGAAGGGGAAATTCAAAGAACATATTACGCCGAGAAATCGAGATAGACATGAGAAAAATAAACAAAAATTGCATGGAACTAGAAAGGAAAGCCCAGAACAAAGTGGGTTGTAGAATATTGGTCGGCGGCCTTTGCTCGATTGAAGGTCACAGGCGTAAGTAAGTAAGTAAGTAAGTGGAGAGATTGTTTGAAAGTTATTGAGATCATGAAATGATCAGAAGTAGACAAACATTGAAAATCTAGAAATATTGGATGGTCATTTCGTCCTAATTAAAGACTCTTCAGCAGTGAATAACCATGATCTCGTAACCGGAGATCGAATACAGAACGTTTGTTCTCGCGAGCAAATACCTAACCTCTAGACCACTGAGCCGGTATGCAGTGGTGTGCAAGTCTAATTATAACCATTTCATAACGTTTCATGACTACCTTTCATTGTCTTTAGTAAGTATCTTTCTCACACTTGACACAATTGAACTTAGAGAATTCGCTCACTGACCAGTGAAGACATGATTTTTAAGTTATTGGTTTTAAATTACTGAAAGAATATAAGTTGTCAATATCT